CAGAACAAGTGCTGGCCATCAGAGCCGTGTACAGAGGTGGTGAGGGGTTCTCCATCGCTTTGAGAAGGTTGGGTAAATAAATTTGAAGTGTGGGCTAGTGGGTCTGGCAGTTGACCATAAATCCAGGCTGCAGGCTCTCAGCACCTCTGTTCTTGTTGCTAAAAATTCCTAGTTACTTTGATAATCAGTGCAAATGATGCAACTTCATTTATATTGCCACTTGTAGAAGAGCATTTTCTAGGCCTCCTTGTCTACTTGACCGCTGAGAAATGCAGCATCGGCTGATAAGATGATTATTTTCTAGCAGAAACACACCTTCCACATCTAATCCAGTTATACCTGAGCAGAAAGAAACCTTTCAAAAGCCTTTGCAGCTGGATCGCAGCGGTCCTGCTGTACCCTGTGTTTGTGTGGCAGTGAGTGCTTGTGGATGACGGGTATAGAAGAAACCACGTTCCAGCCTAGGTGAGGGCAGCGATCCCAGTGAACTATGTGCTCCCAGGCATGGTGAGGTCTTGTGACTGGTATGTCATCCCTTGGCTTTTTTTTTCCCTCATGCCCTTCTTCCTCTCCATTTCTGGTGTTACCAGAGTTTGAAAGAGCAATAACATCCCTTTACAACACATTCTCTCTCCAGTCTTTTCATCTTTCTTGTTGCTTTGCAGCATAGTATTGCGTACTCAGACTTTATTCAACTTTGTCTTGTGCTCAGCTGACCTTTGCAATCTCCCTGTCCCCTTGCCATCAGACTTAGAAGTCTTCCAGAGCAATGCTGCTTGTACTCCTAAATCCAGCAGTCTCACAGAGGTACAGAAGAGGCAGCACCATGTCATCAGGATGCATTACCCCTCATTTTGCCTAGTATATTAGAAGTTTTGTTATTCTGGGAGACTCAGCCTGCTTGTAGCTGTTTGTATCTTCTATTGAGGTGTCCTTCTTGGCTAAGGCTCTGAGTTTCCACGTTTTATCTTAGCGTACGTTGTGATTTGCCTTGGTAAATCTGAGAACAGGAGGTGGAAAACTGAATGGAGACAAAAATAGCTTACAACTGGCTGTCCCTATTTCCCTTCAGTATTCTGCAAATGGACAGAATGAGGAATTACAGCTGGATTGTCTTGTCCCTGTAGCTACTAGGTGAGCCCTGCCATTTTTTCATCCTTTCCTCATAACCTGTCATGTCTATACCCATTTATTCCTGGAGTGGTGTCTCCAAGGGGGGGATATTTCTGCCTCTCTCCCTGGGTGAGAGCTGTACAAGAGACTGGCTTGAAAGCCCTGGCCCATCTAAATTCTTTCTACTTTTTAAATAGTCTCCTCTAAAACCTTTAGTGGTGTCCTTTACAATCTTGAAAATACTCCAATGTTGCTTAAAAATACCGTGGCCCTCAGAGACTTGCTTTTCAGTCATGTTTTCCTGTCTGCCTCTCTGTGTTGCTAGTTTCTTTACGCTTATTCTATAAGCTCTTTCTGGCAACCCTCAGCACTGTGAACACTGATCTGTGACTGAGGCTCCAGGTGCACAGTAATACCAACAAATAAAGATGGGAATTTAACACGGGCAAACCTGATTTCCAGCCTGGACCCTGTGGTTTCCACCTTGATGCCAAGGGGTGATGAGGTACAGTGGGAACATTGCCTAAGCAGTCTTCAGACTCGCTTTCTGACTTACTGTGTTAATCAGGAAGGGAGATACTGCATCTTCAGAGGACTGCAGGCTTAGTCACTGTAGCGGAGAACAGGGGATGCCCCCAACATCAAACTGCGAGTCTGAGCTCCCGAATCTGGCAGGAAAAGCGTGCCTTCCCTCCCAGTGCCTGCTGCTCCTCGGGTGGCCGCCGGTCTCCTCCCCGCCTAAAAAGGGACAGCGTTCCCCCACGGGAAGGAATTGCTTTGGAAACCTCGCTGAACATCTGTGTCCGATCAGACCGAACATCCACACCAGGCGTAGCGGCGGCCCACGACCGAGCATCAGCAGTAGCACGGAGCCTTGGAAGGGGCTGCGCTGCCGGCGCCGCGGCTCCCCGGGGGGTTGCGTCAGGGGAGCAGCCTCCCCGGGCTTGCAGTTGTGGTGGTGCTGCGTTTTGTAGTTTGCCAGTGACAAGCTGCAGAACAAAACCACAAGGCTTGAGATGCAGCTCAAAGCTACAGGCTTTGTAGAGCCAAACCACAAGGCTGAGAATTTCAGTAATTGTAAGCCAGGAAAACAGTTTTTTGTTCTTTATCCCTATACGGGGCTTTGCCTACTGTAGAGGTGGAAGTGTGAGAGATGTCTGCTGAGACTCCACATTTCTCCCTACAATTGTTTTAGAAAATACAGAGGGAAGACACGCCAAAGTGAAAAGATTACCCCAGGTGTCCCTCGATAAGAATCTTGGGGGAATTGCCCAGAAATGTTACAGGGAAGAACACAGAGCAAATAGAAATGAGACAGAGGGGAGAAACCAGAGCAATTTCAGAGCAGTGTGATAGCTGAGGAAAATGCTTAGGGAAGTAGTCTGGACGAATGACAAGAGAAACAGCCACACAGAAGGGACCAAAGCAGACAGGTTGTATGCCCAGCTAGGGATAGGATCCACATTTATTTTGCACGGGCATTGAACTAGCTGAGAGGAGCCCCGGTATGGTCCTAGTGGTTCCCGCAGCACTGGGAAAATGGGCAGCTGGATATGTGTAGTTATCTCTTTCTGAACAGCTCAAGCCACAGAAAAGAATAAGTGGCTCAAATGTTTGTAATAGTTCTTCTTTTTCTTTTCTCTTCAATGTTTTGTGTGTGATGTAAAAGCAATATAAAACCCACTTAAATCCCAGAACTTATGTAGAATCTCATATGGAGTGTGAGTCCAAACAAAAGGCGGCTTTTTTCCACTTTAAATAGCTTGCAGACCTTTGGTTTGAATTGTTTGCAAAATTTAGGCAATGCCATATTTAGAGTTGCACGTGAAATTGTAATTGAACTTACAAATTTATTTTAGTTTCAAGGTCACACACTATTTTTCCAGGGTGTGCCTGCTTAAACCCATGATAAGATGGTTTCGCTGAATGAGTAGCTGTTCAAGATTTTTGTTTATCATCTTCATTTTTGTGCGACCTGGAGCGTGCTTAATGCAAGTGGAATCTGTGATTTTATTTTTTTTTTTTATTCCCCACCCCCACCCCACCCTCCGAACTGAAAGGCCTTTGCTTTACATGTGCCTTTAGGAAATTCCAAAGGTTTAATATTTATCCAATTTTTAATTAATTTTCACAAGGGGGCAAAACTCAGCTGACATACCAAATCCCTCAAATCCCTTGGTCAAATGGGTGTTGATCTTTGTTAACATTTATAAAGTTGATTTTTTTTTTCTAATTTTTTTTTTAAGTGATGGAATCGCTCAGTGGCTGAAAATGTCGTATTATAATAGAAAGCGATAGACCACTTTGACACCAGGCATTCTTTCTAATTCAACTATGAAGAAAGAACATGAGTATTATTTAGGATATTTTTTCCATTTAGGGTCCTGAGAGCACTTCGCCATCGTCGAAATGCGAACTTAAACTCACAGGATTCTTGCCCTTTTGCTAGTCAGCAAAAGCGTATCATGTTTGGGCAGCTTTGAGGGGCACGTGGGATCAAAACAGGATAGCAGTGGAATTTGGCTGTCTTAGACTGCGTCCTCATCGAGTTTGCTGTGTTAACGCCTTTTGTAGCAAGAGCCATTCACCAAAGTTTCACTCTTCAGGATCTGAAATTCAGCAGCTAAAGATAACCGTGGGACTGTTCCACACAGAAGCCTCTGTAAGGTGTTTAGCACCGTGTGCCGTGAGAGTTCACAGGAGCTGTGCGCGGTACACACGTAGTGTGTGAAACGCAGCAGGCATCGGCTGTGGTAGAATTCCCGTCGATAATTACAGGGGTAATCACTACTGGGCAGGGGAGGCTCCTGGGGATTTTGCAGGCAATATCAACGTTTTTGGCAGTGCTTTGAAAGCAACTGTAAAGTCACTGTTAAGCTACAAGCAACCCAAAACTGGTGTAAATAATGACTTCCAAAGCACATGCTTTTTATGTAGACTGTAATGTCTGCCTCTGTTGCTTGTCATGGAGATTGCAGGGAAGATGGCTCAATGCTGCGAGGAGGGATTCAATCAGATTACCCTGCCAAAGCTGTTGATTAGCAGATTAAAATTCCAGCCATCCTCCCTGTGCCTTGCTCTGTATTTTTAACCCAGACAGAAGTGAAACGTTAGAACGTTTAATTGTTCTGTGAGTCCTCTGAATGCAGAGCCTGTGGTTTTTTGGAGGGCAGCATGTGCTATACCCACTAACATCTGGACCAGCAGGAGCAATGATATGCAGTAACGTGGCAGAGAGGCACGAGCCCCGCTGTAGGCAGCGCAGCAGTATTCAAGGGCAGTGTTCTCCCATGTTGGCAGGGTGAAAACTTTAATTAAAAACAGTCTGTTGGGTAAACATAAAGGACATACTTAGTTATTCTCTCCCTTGTACCATGAACATGTATGACTCTTCACAATTCTTCACCTAACAAAAGAGGATAAATGTAGGATAAAGTGGAAGCACGTAGCTCACACTGAAAGTGGAGCTGTGTGGTCATTTTCAACTCTTTGAATGTTCTTAAAAGCATTTGCTATCCAAGGGTACATCCCCTTGGAGGCAGGTGGGAGTGATCACAGCACATGCTGGAATGCTTAAGCCATTAGCCAACCTGTCTGAAGTGCCAATGAGATTGAAAAGATGGCACCAGGGAGGGGCTCATTCGTGCTGAAGCCCAAGCCTCTCTGTCTTCCTCACACTTGTCATCCAGACTAGCTCAAGTGCACCCCTGCACCCTCCCACTACAACCTTACACTAGTGCCTTGTGGCAGTGACCAGGGACAGCGGGAACGGCTGCCAGTAGTGCGTTTTAATTTTATTTTTTTTTTAAGAATAATAGCAATCTACTATCTTTTGTACATAATTGTGTTTGTTGTTTTACCTCTCCTTGTTTTTTTCATATTACCAGAGTGCCTCAGATGGTTTTTGGAAGTCAGTGGCAACCCGTGTCCCAAGAGAACCTCATGAGATACGTATCCTGAATCCCTACTTCATCCAGGAGGCAGCATTCAGCTTCATCGGACTGCCTTTCAACAACGGCCTGATGGGCAGAGGGGTAGGTATAAAGCAAAGCAAGCAAAACCACAGGGAAGCACAAGAGACCAAGTAGCAGAGCAGGCTTACGCTGTTCTTATTTTTCCTTTGGGCTTCTGCTGTTGGACATTGAAGGGAAGGGACTTTGGCTCTGTTACGGTGGCAGTGCTCAGCCTCATTCAGGCCAAGGCACAATCCTGCCTTGGAACACACTTTGGATTTTGGGGGGATCATCGACGTATCAGCAGTGCCTTTAAAGCAACTGTAAAGTTTCATCCCAGGCTTATAGTAAAAGAGGGTAAAGGTTTACTTTTTGAGGCCTTTGGTGAGAAATTCTGATCTTACAGCAATGAGTTTTAGATGTAAAAGCTTACAAAAGAAAACAATGCACAACAGTTTTAGGTCATAGTTATTAAAATACCTTCATGGTCATTCTCATATCTCTCACCCTGAGTGCAGCTTTTTGGAGTGTTAGTGTGGAGTAGGTGGTGACTTGGGCTTTCTGGATTATCTCACACTGCAACGCTGTCCTCAGGACCTATTTATATTTGTTCTACCTAATATTTCAACCATTAGAGAAGGTATTACTTGGGTGGGTAAATTACTCATGTACACATGTGATGTAGTTGTTGATAGAGACCACACGTGACATTTTTGAGCACATTAGCACAGTTGACAAACCCAGAGAGAAGGACTTTTGCTGGACAAAGTCTGCTTGCTCTGTCCCTGGCATTGTCCTTCCATTGTTACCAGTACAGGAGATTTGCCATGTCACAGCATGGATTTGGACTAGACAAAATAGTGCCTCTTTTTCCATGCTCTAATTATGTTGTGAAGTCTTCAGAAATATTAGGGACGTTTGTTTTGTGCAGGTCAGTTGGGTGGGTGCCTGAGATAAGAAGTTCACTTCTTAAAATGCAGTGTACAAGATGTGCAGATTCAGCCACGTAGAATGGATCTTTTGTGAAATGCATTGCTGCATACGTATGTACAGAAGCTGTCATGGGGTTCTGGAAGCACTGGATTTTTGCTCTGTACACTGAAGGTATCTTATCCCAAATATTCCTGACAGCTAGGAAGTAACTTACGTTACCTCTCTGCATTCTCCAGAACTCACCCTTAAAACGATGTGCTCTTGATTTGTCTTCCAGAAAATCAGAACTGCTGCCCCAGTAAAGGACAGAAATCATCAGACTTTTGCCTTTATTTTCTCCAGATTTGTTTTTATTTTTAAACACGTTATTTTAATACACAAGATATTACTTAAGCTGAGAGGGGAAGAGAGAATCCGGAAATGAAAATGCTGTGAACTGAAGTTTATGAGGTTTTGATAGGTTGTTTAACACACATCCAATTGGGATATGAAGGCATCTTAATTGAAACCTGATGTTTCACTTCATGAAAGTCCATTTGAGCATCTAAAAATAGTTTATGGAGCTTTAAGACAAGCAGTCTTTCCCCATGACCCCTGCTAGACTGTGTAAATTGTAGTTCATTCCTTCAGATGGGGCAACAGGAGCTCTGCAGGTGCATCTGTGGGGCTGGAACATTACTATACCCTGTGCTGTCTGTGCAAGGACACTCTAATATAGATTCTGTCAGAGTTTAAAAACAGGGGGAGAATATTTTTATCCTGTGAGTACAAATTTTACTGCAGACATCAACTATGGACTGCTGTCATGGAGCTGCTGGGACTTCACGCTTTAGTGAGTGCTGCTGCATCAGTGCAAAGGCTCCAACAGAAGCTACTGCTGCCAGTGTAAAGAGGGAAGAAGAGTCTGAGTAGGATCCTGATGATACAAATTTGCTACAGACCTTTTTTCACGGAGAGTTTAAATGGGAAGAGTGGAAATCAGAGCGTGTAGACCAAGAATCCAACCATCATTAAAGATTTGAGAGAGATCCAGCAATACGTGTGAGGAAGCTAGAGCAAGGAGAATTGCTCCACAAGAGCCAGTGTGACCCAACAGCCACAGAGCACAGCTGGTTGGGTTCAGGGTCATGCTTTAGAGATGAGAAAAGCCTGGAAAACTTTCCTTGAGAAAGAATGAACATGGAAAAGGGAAATGCTGAGGTCTAGTAAGCAAAAGCACAGCTAACAGTATGTGTCCTGAGTTTCTCCTGGGGAACCGGGATGGGGGCAGATTGGTGCCCCCGTGCTGCAGCGTGCTGTGGTACGTTGGGCAGGCTACAGGAGGATCAAGGCTGGGGATACCTTAGTAATGCAGGCCAACACGAAATCCTCGTAAAGAGCAGTAATATTCCACTCTTCTTTAGTTCAGATGCCTAAATAAACCTCAGTGCTTCTCTTGCACACCACATATGGTAACAATGTGCTACCAATTAACTTTGTAATTTGGTGGCTTTTTCAGCAAGGTTGAGGAGAGCTAGTAAAATAGTTTGGGGCTGATCTCAAAGCGTTTTTCCCAGGATTCAATAAAGGACGAATGTAGTAACATCCTCTGCTTTGATAATATAATTTGGGCCAGATGGTTCTGGAGGATAGAAGGGGGGTACAACTCAGATGTGCATTTTGATTGCACTTGTGGCATTAGTAGCCAAAAGTCTGAGCAAGGAGCAAAACTGGTCACCCACAATAAACAGTGACTTCTCTCTGGGACCGGTAAAGCTTTTCAGGAGTTTCCTCAGTCCATTTACTGAAGTCATAAAAAGGGAGAGCTGTTTCCTACTACATGTGGACTTCTCTTTTGTTGGGATAAGCTAATGATAAAGAAGAACTTTCATTTGGGACCCTAGTAATGTCTGGGGAAAATTAAATGTTAATGCCTGAGGATGGTTTAGCACAAAAGAAACAAGCTAGTAAAGATCCCTTCTTTGATTAAAGAACCCTCTTAAAGTGTGGGTACAGGCTTGGCTGTCTCAGTAGCCAAAGGCGTATGTATGTGATTTACGTTTAGGTGGAAGTTCTGTGTACGTAGGTCTCTTGGGCTTGAAACCAGACATCACTGGTATTGCAGCTGGTAATTCAGGTATGCAATAACCTACCTTACAACTGCAGACAGCTTACTGGGGGACAAGCATGAACATCAGTTCAGAGGTGTCATTGCCTGTTGCATGTATGACACTAGAGATGGTTATTGCCATGGTGCTTTTTGCTGTGTTGTAAATAGTCCTATCCACTCAGTAGCACTAAGAGCCATTGGAGCAGTGGCTTTCTGGCTCCTCTGGGAGCCCTGAGCATGGTGTGAGGTGGCCAGGAGAACGTCTCAGATTACATTATCAGTTCTCTGAGGACTCCAGTGCAGACTGTGGTGTTTGTTTCTCTCTCTCTGCTAGTGCTGTTCATCCATGGAACTGCTTATGCTTTAACTTCTTATGAGATTAAGCTCTTCTGCCCAAAACTGTAACCCTTTGGTTTGTTCGTGTACTGGAAATGTCTGAATCTATAAACCTCTTACTAAAGAGGTAAAACATCCTCCTCTGGACTTCACCCAGCCTCAGCACCAACTTGGTGATGGAGGAGCCACGTGCAGGAGGTGCTACCAGGCTGCGTCAGGCACCTGGCCATGGATTAGCACCTCTGCAGAGTGCTGACAGCCCTCATGCACTCGGGGATTAACCTCTGATGCTGGAGTGTTAGCACGTCCTGCCCCAGGGCTTCTCTTTGCTGTTGTGTGGTTTTGCCTGTGGGCAGGCAGCCTTTCTGGAGATGCCAGTGGTGACCCTTTCCTCCTTAGGCAGTTTTTCAGCCCCCCTGGCTGGTCATAATGACCCTTTCTCCCATTAGTACTGGGTTGCCCTGGTGTCAGCAAGCTTTGTCTCCTGGGCTGTTCTTGCCCGAGTGTGACTGTGTGAAGGCCATGTCTTGGGACCTGTTGGGTCTTTATGGAGCAGAAGAGAGGTGGGGGGTGGCAGGAGCACAGAGCGGTCTGCCACTCCATCGTTTCCAGTTGCGTGCTTCTCCTTTTTTTACACTCTGACGGCATCTTCTAAGGCAGGTGGAGGGACAAGTAAAGGGCCACTGCAGCTGCAGCCAGTGAAATGTAGAGTCTTAGTGTCATTTGCTAAGCTTTGGGTTTGCAAGACAGCACATCTGCTTCATGGGCTGGACTGTTCAATCCATTGCCACTGCGGTGTGATCAGTCCACGAGCTGCTGGGGAGTGGACACTCGGACAGGCCAGTGCAGGGTAGCAGGTAAATGCGCCTCTTGGTAAATGCCCAGCCACGTGCTTCTGCGCATGACAGATGCAAAGAAACTGAAGGGAGTTTACCTTTCAGTGAGAGTAGGCCATGAACTCCCATTTAGCATAGGGTGAAGCATATACGTGGTTACCACGGAGCAGCTATCATGTAGTAAAGTAATGCCCTTCCTTGCCCTCTGTTAAATTGTTAGGTCCTTAAGAAATACCCCCTGCATTGCACAGGAATCAGCTCTACAGCAAGTGGTAAATCAGAGCTTGTGCATCAGGTTACATGTGGTCAAAGATACTTGATTTGGGCTAAGTTGTTTAGGAGCTCAGCAGTTAAATGGCAGAGCAGAAGCCTGCTGGGCAGCTAGCTTGTCATGTCTCCAGCAACAGACCTCTGGCCCTTCCCTTTTGCTCTGTTGCAGTTCTGGAGGCTCTCTCCCGCTTACAGCAAGGGATGACTAGGCCAGGTGAAGGAAGAGTGTTGGAGATGCTCTGCTTTGTCTTTCAAAGCCAAATATTGCGGCTGATTCTGTGCGTGGATGGAGGTAGCTGTGGGAGCAGCACTGGGTGAGTAGGCTCTGTGACAGGGACCACTCTGCAGGTACTTGTCTGCTCACAATAAGTGATGCTAAATTGCCTTTTATGCAATTTGTTTCCAAACTTGCTAGCTAAGGGAAGCAAAGAGTAGGTCTGGGGTTGTTCCTGTGCAAACATAAATGAACAAAAAGAAAATACAGTGACTATTGTATATAGCGTGTGATGGCTGTTGCACTTTTGTTCTGTATTTCTTTTGTTTTGACTTTATTGCTGATCAGGTCTGTAACTGATAAAACTAAGATAGCAATTTTTCTTAGGTGAGCAATTTTTCAA